ATGCCGTCACTCGGGACGCTCCGTATATTAGGTATATATCCTACCGATCTACGGCGAACAACGACGAATGCTGCTCTTTCGCCACCGTCTTACCATCACCCGCCGGCGCGATTCGTCGTTTCCCCTCGTTCTCTATTCCACCTCCTCTCGCCGTCGTTTCCCTCGCAGTTTCTATACCTCTCTTTCTCTCTTTTTCCTTTCTTCTCCTTGTCACTCTTCACGTCCGAAAGTGAAGTGATGCCATCTCGCAGACGCTTACAGCGCGTTATGACACGTGGAGGGGATAAGTGGGGATAATCTGCCAAACACTCGGCACTACACGTACCATTCAACAACCGTACTCAAGCGGCGCGATTTCCCAACAATCATCCCCACCTGTCCCCCTCCATTCGACGTAGCGTGCCGTAAGCGTCTGCGAAGTGGCAAAATGGCAATGCCATTATGGCATCACGATTGGAGTGCGGCCAAAACCGTCTGTCGGATCCGCACGCGAGTCTCTCCTCAACAAAGCACAGTTTCTTCTCTGTCCTTCCTTTTCCTCTCTCTTCCTCTCTTTAATCTTTTCTATCTTTCTACCTGCCTATTATACTGCCACGTCAGAACCGTTTTTGCGTTCTCTGTATCTTATGATCATATCGAATAATTTATCGAACGTTTTTTGCCATTTCTCTGAAAATGTTCTTTGAGAAACCGCGCGAAATTGCGTTAAATCAGTTAAATTAATGCGTTCAGGATGCATCCGTTTGGCGTTTTCTCTCCTTTCTCTGTTCTTTAAGATCGAATCAATTTAATTTTAATTCGAAACAAAATTTCTACGCATTACAAATTAGATTAGCGACAGGAAAACCGTCGAGAAAATATATAATGAATATTCTTGCAGAATATTAAATTTGTTCGCGTTACTTGTAATTTTTGTACTTGGTATCGTCGCTAATTTTTCTCATTTCAACATAAATTTTTATTTTATTTTTCAAAAATCGTAGGGACCTGCAGATGATTCTTTTTACTGCGAATATTCGCAATTACATTGCAATTTTAACAGTAATTGCATTAATTACTAATTTCCTTTTGTGTTAGCTGCATTGTTTAGGGACGGCTGCTCTCAGTAGAGAAAGCAGCTTTGCAACTTTGTAAAATTGTTCAATACGATTGGTTTATATATTTAGATCCATAAGGAACCAAAAGCAAGAACCAATGGCATTAAAGAATTTTACAAAGTTGTAAAGCCGCCTGCTCTGCCCTCTGCTGAACGCAGTCAACGTTATACAATAGATCTGTTTGCGTTGTTTGCACTTTTGGTATTCGACATCTTCGCTCTCTCTCTTTTCAAAACAAAATATGTATCTATCTCATTTTAAGTGCAAGAATATTTGGGGATTTCATGGAACGCGAATAGACCTATTGGCAGCATTGCTTTTTCTAGGGAAAACAAGATGAACAATCTTAGCATTAGTTTGCCGTTTTCCGATGCAGAGGACGTAATCGAACAATTCGTCAGCATCGACGTATTCACGAGGACCTTTTGCCGGATATATAGACAAATCTTTCGTAAAATGGTAAATAAATTGTATTACTAACTAAACCATTGTCACTCGATAATTCGATTTCACAAACGAAACGCCACGCCTGCATTATTCGTAAATTGTGCATAAATTCACGATCACATTTGCAAAAACCGGTGGTTTTTATCATTAACTAAGGTTATCTTTCCTTTGGAAATTTCTGTTAGACTCATCCGCATGATTGTGAGATATTGCACGATCATTAAAGTGATTCGCAATGATTCGCGGAATTGTCTTTGTTCGCGAAAATGCATCAATTGCATTTATGACTATTTCACGCATCGCATTGCCGGTAAAACTTCTATGTCGAACGATGCACGTTTTCTCAATAAGACTTATTGTTCAGCGTGATTGTCGAATAATGTTTGAATGCTAACAAAATAAAAGATTTCACACGTACGCTTGATTGCCAATAAAATTATTTGAACAATTGTCATTCAAAGCAAGAATTATAATTGATTCAACAGTTGCAGAACGTTGCATCATGTAGGGTGAGTTTAAAAGGAGCTTCAAGATTGGTACGATCAACAAGAAGCTTGAGAGATGGCTCGAGGAAACGTGTACTATCGCCTATGTTTCCATCGACATCAGTGGAATTGCTCAATGCACAAATGCAGTCGGTAAGTTCCTGCTATGCAAATAAGTTATATCAATGATAAGCAGTAATGATTTTGCAGCTTCGACTGTATTCGAATTCGGCACGACGGCCAAGCTTTCTATCTCAGTTAATTGAGAATATCAAGCAGGAGATGCAGAAAAATAAAGAAATGAAAGAATCATTAAAAAAGTTTAGAGAAGAAGCTCAGAAACTGGAACAATCAGAAGCGTTACGAACAGCACGACAAAAATTCCAAGCTGTTGAATCTGAAGCCAGCAAAAGTTCAGAAGTGATCAAAGAAAAACTGGATACAATTAAAGAAAAGGTACATATCTACAATTAACTCATGTATATTAATATATGTTATGTTACACATGTATAATTAAGCGAGTTTATGTTTAAAAGATGCAAGAAGTTATCGAGGAGGCAAGTAAGACTGAATTAGGCAAACGTGCTGGCCAGTTGGGCGAAGAGATAACGAAATCGGCCAAAGGAGCGGCGGAAACGATTTCTGAAAAACGCCAAGCACTTGGTAAGACAGGTGCATTTCAAACTATATCACACACCGCAGAGGCCGTACGGAATGAACTTGACCAACATGGAATTCTAGGTAGATAGATTTGGCTGAATAGACAGAGAATAGAGTGGTTAAATTTCATTATTGCTTAATGCAGGCAAAGTTTACGTTCCACCTAAAAAGCTAAGAAAGAGAAACGAAGTACCAATAGAACCTAGAGAAATTATGCCTGACCAAAAAACGACAGGTGTGGAAATGCACAAGGACTACATGTTTGCCAATGCTTGGGAAAATTTTAAGGTACTTTATGGACAATGTTTTGTAATAAACTTTATATAATGTATAAATGGGTATTAACAAATGCCTCTATTTAACGATATCGAATGTTCTTTTAAAGGATAATAATCCATACGTGAATAAAGTAATGGATTGGAAGACGAAATTCGACGAGTCAGATAATGCTGTACTACGCGCTTCCAGATTGCTTACGGATAAGGTTTCGGACATTATAGGTGGGCTATTTCAAAAGACCGAGCTATCGGAGACACTTACAGAGATCTGCAAGCTGGATCCCAATTTTAGTAAAATACAGTTCTTGAAAGACTGCGAAACCGACTTTATCCCGAATATTCTCGAGGCGATGATTAGAGGTGAACTTGAGATTCTGAAAGACTGGTGTCATGAAGGACCATACAATATAATCTCGCAACCACATAGGGAAGTTAAGAAATTAGGCCATTATTCGGATAGTAAAATTCTAGGTACATATTTATACATAATATTCATTAATTATACGATACTTTGAAATTGTGAAAAGTAAAAAAAGGAATATCAATTACAGATATCGACAATGTAGATCTAGTGATGGGAAAGATGATGGAACAGGGACCGGTTTTAATAATTAGCTTTCAATCTCAACAAATCATGTGCGTGAAAAACTTCAAGAACGAAGTGATTGAGGGAGATCCCCAGAAAGTTATGCGTGTCAATTACGTTTGGGTATTGTGTCGCGATCGAACGGAACTTAATCCCAAGGCCGCGTGGCGTTTATTAGATCTCAGTGCCACCAGTTCGGAACAATTGGTATAGTGTGAACGAACAACATAAACTAACTATTCAAAGTTTACGCGGCTACGTGGAATCGTCGTGTAGTAATGTCATTCGTGTACATTACTGTTATTATTCATATTAAAAATATGATCGAACGTATCAAGAATTCTTTAACGATCGTATTAAATGATTACCGATCTAGTATACATATAATAATACATAACGTATCTCCTGTAAATTGGAATGTTTATGTATGTACACAAAATTTTAGCAACGCAATATCTGTAAATTTTAATTGTATTTGATCTAAGTATATACACGTGCTAAGTTATTTACAAGATAATATATTTGTAAATGCATCGAAATCACGTAGTGTGATACACTTTGCCATACAACTTGTAATTATTTAAAAATAGATCATAATTAAGATAATATCCATTTAATAGATTTAATAGTGCATATAATAGAAGTTAAGTATAATTACTTAATTGCCAATTAGTGTTATGTACTTTATTTATAAAATTTTCGTATTTCTTATATTCAATTTCGAGAAAAAACATTAATTAATATTTAAAAGAATTTATATTGCAAATTGGCAAGTATTAAAATTAATTTTTGTATAATATTTTTTATATAATTTTTATATAATATTTATTGTCAATTATAAAACAAGAATAAGCCAATTTTTATAAACAAAAAAATAATAGATTGTGCTTTATTGACGAAATGATAAAAATCTTATTTTTTTAATATTAAAATAAGAAGAATAATTACAGATATTGCAGTTGTTGAAAAGTTTTTCAAAAACTGAAAATGTTTTCATCATATTTAAAATATATTATTGTAATTGTGTACAGCACGAGATGGATATGAGAATCTATTAGTTTGAATATATTAACAAATGCATCTGTAATAAAACTATATATATGAATGTACATATGTACAAGCTGATATTAATGAATGATTATAGCATACGTTTAAATTATAAAGAGAGCTGTTGATTATTTTTTAAAGAATATTATAAGAGTCGGTTTGGATTGAAACGGAATAAAATGATATCCTGCGAACAAACGACTATAGTATTATTTTTTCTATTTAAAATAAAATCATGCATGTAGATAAAAGGAATACCTTATAAGAATGATATATATAAACTACGTTTTTTATTCATATTCTTCATAACATTATACTGTGTAATCTTTATATAAATATATAAGCGAGTCACAATATTATATAATTTTTTTCAACCGAAATATTCTAATCAACATCATGTTCATATTTGCTTCGATTTAAGTTTACTCGCAAATGCAGGACTCTGTGGATTGGTCAGCTTTTTTGTCGCTTTAAGAATAACTGGCGATTTGTACATTGGCATCGGTCTTGCTTTCACCTCCGATAACTTGCGTAATTCTATTTTCATTAATTTCTCAGATTCGAGTCTCTTCTGTTCTGCTTCCTGACGTTTTGTCTCCTCTTCCATTTCCTTACGCCTCATCTTCTCGTTAAACTCATATCGTTCCTTCGCCCGTTTATCAGTATTTAATTTCAGCGGATAAGCTTTTAATGGTGCTTTTTGTTTATCAACAGTGTAAACTGTGCTCTTCGCCTTCTCTACATTCTTCTTCTCTGCCTTTAAAGAATCAATATTCGGCGTTTTGTTTTCCTGATCTTCCGCTTGCTCGCTTACAATCTTCTTGTTCTTCATTGAAAGATTCTCTTTGGATCTACCACGAACCATTACAGGTTTGAAGACTGGTACCGGATTCGCGCGGAATACACGCGCTTGCTTATCCTTTTCGAGCAGTTGTTTCACTAAGTGCTCCTTTCTTTCAAATACTTTCTTGTCTCGATTGTCAAAGCTGAATGGACACGGTAAGATAGATTTCTTTGTTCTATTCTGCTGCTGCTGTTTGGCCGGTGGTGTTGGTGGCTTCGAAAAATTTGGCACTGGCCTGGCATGGAATTCTGTCTTTGTTTTAGTAGCTTCTTGCAAATCCTTCAGTCGTTGTTCCTTTTTTATCTGTAGATCCTTATTGCGCGCCTCGAAGCTAAATGGTATGATGCGTGTTACGTTTTTCGTTATATCAATGTCTTTTGGTACACCAAAAAATGATATTTCCTCATGTTCTACAATGAGACCTGAAGGATCAGTTACCAGCAATTTTGTGACATTCTTCGGACCATGAACTTTTCCATTGGATTCGGTAGAATTATGCGCGACTACCGTCGGCTTCTTCATCACTCGTGAGCCTCGTAGTACATTAGATGGTATCGGATTGGCTTTTATCTGATGTTTCTTCATTTCTTCCATTTCTAGTTTCTCGCGCTCTTCTCGGCTCAGCACGGTAACAGGACGCGACCTGTTCTTTGATATAAGTGCTGGTGAAATCGGTACCGTTGGTTTTAAACGGTTCTGCATTGTTTTCGACAGTGGCATACCAGTCGTGTTATTCACCTTACTTCTACTGTGGAAACGCTTGGGCGTCTCGTTTTGAAAGCGCGATACTGCCTCCGCTAAACTGACGTATTTCTTGTTGACCGATGTTCTGCGTTTTTGTAAGCTTCGTCTATGATTATACCAGGTAAGAACTGAATGCTTATTCGTAGATTGTGTTTGATTGCCTGACTCGATTGTAGCGTCCACATCGTCTTGATTGTTCTCTTCCTTGGTTTTCTTACTGTCAGATGATCCTTTTGATTCATCTTGCCGCTCTTTATCATCTTCCTCGTTATATTCCTTATTGTCTGCTTCATTATATTTTTCAATGTCTTTTTCATGTTTTTCATTATATTTCTTATTCTCTTCCTCCTCACCTTGTTTTTCTTTCTTATTTTTAGAATCTTCTACTACATTATTCTCATTGTGATTTTCAGGCTTAAATAAGGCATGATTAACCGATATTTCTTTTGTATTTTCAGACATGTTAGTGACTGAAATACAGATATTCTTGTTCACTTTCGTGGACTTTTGCACAGAATCTTGTCCAGAGTGAATGTATTTATTCGGTACACTACGACAATTGATAATTTTAGATGGTTTAATGGTTTTAGACATATTCGGTGTCTTAAAAACAGTCGATTCCTGGGTACTTTTATTTAGTGCTTCTCGAGTTTTTTTAAGTGGCACTTTACAAAGGTCCAGTTGCCTCATCGCATCGCTGAGTACTTGATCATAAGTAGTTTCTCCTAATTCATTATTACCATTTTTCGGAGAAGCCATTTTGATAGGAGTACTCTTTATAATTTCTAAATCTGTTTGTGCCTCTGTGCTAGCACATATGACATTTGTGTTAGACATGAGCTGAATGTTCTCTGTATTCTCAGAAGCAGAGTTACAGAAATCCTCTATGCGTTCATGTATTGCATGTGATTTTTCAAAGAAGTCCTGCATCCGCATCGGACTTTGAGTCTCAGTAAAATCTACCCATTGTGGTGCTTGCAGATCAAGGTCCTCCATTGTGTCAATCAGTAAAATATATAGCGTGCACGCAAAATATATTAGTATCAAGTCATAAAGAAAAAAATTACTATACGTCAAAATATAAATGCCATCCAATAATACTTAATGATAATCTGCAACATAAAAATATGAAATCTTAAATGATTCTAAAGATATATCTAGTATAGTATAAATATTACAGTATAAACAATAAGTAACAATTAAATAACAAAAAATATATATTTTAAAGTATAACTAACATCTTTTTTCTCTTATTTTATTTATGTACTTTTATTTCTAAATTATAACCATATTTTCATTAATCATTCTTAAGCAAAATTGATGTACAATATGACAAGTAAATGCAAATAGAATGTTATTGTTGGAGAATTATAATTATATCAAAATATCAAAATATAAAACTTTGACATTTTGAGACACTTTTCAATTTTCAATCTTAGTGTTTACATATATAAAGTTGTATTAGTCTAAAGAGCACAACAGTAATCTTATAAAGCTAATGACATTTCTTCAAAAAGAGATTGTTGATTAAATATCATTTCTAATTCATTAATGTTGAATCTATTACAAAGAATTTCCTTATACAAAGACAAAAATAAAAAATTTTGTATAATGTGATACGTTTTATATATGTCCTTTATAAACAATTAAATAGAAATAATTTTATTTTAGTAGAAAGAAAAATTTATGCAACTGAATAGCTTTCTATATTGTTTTCATTCGAATGAATTAATAATTAGGTCTTGCAGATCCAACACAATTGTTGCAGAATCAAAATAAAGGCCAGTACTACGTACTCACACGTAACTATTTACGTCAATTATTTGCGTCTCTTGTCACACTGTTCGTCGAAAAAACTCATGTGTTCAAACTTCTTCTCCCTGCGATCTCTACTCTTATTTTTAGCTCGTATTCAATTGAACCTTTGAAGGCGGGACAGAGCGAAACACCAGCGAACATTCCACGAGAATAGCTAACGACAAAATCAAACGTACGTTACACTCATTCAAGTTTGAATTCTTCTATGCCTCATTCGGATTGGCTGCGTTGTTGCTAGCTGGATTCGAAGTTCGCGCATGAGCATCGAACGACACGTCTAATAAGTAAAAAAAATACCTTTAAAGATTAGCTTTTTTCTGACATTTCCAAAAATTATGTAAAAGTTACTCGCAAATTTCAGTAAGTGGATTGTGTTCTCACTCATTTCTTTACCAACGCTTCACTATTCTTTGCTCCTGTAATACCGCACATGCGAAATTATTCGTTATCGCAAGACGCATGCACGAAAGAACCCGCCAGATCGTAATTCGTTCCGATTGGCTGACAAATGGCATGCGTTTTCATGAAGGGGAAACATAAAGCTCAAATATTCTTACGTCGCCTAGAAATTCCCACTGTGGGAACAAATTCTACTTTCAACAGAACTTTAAAAAAATGAATAGTAAATTATTGTATACGTAAAAATTAATAATTTCAAACAAAATTTTTAATTATATAATTTATAATCTTATTGTAAATTTTTTTCAGTGAAAATTTGAAGTTATTGATAAAAATTGCAGCTATTTTATATGAAAATATGATTTATTTGATAAATAAGATTTTTTTTATCAGTAGTTTAAAAATATTATATAGTGCCTAACTGTACGGAAATATTATCATTTTACTATTATTTTAGTCAGTGCAAAAAAAGTTTTGTCTCTTTAGTTCTCAGCCAATTGCATCAATCGTGTCGAGATTCGCTATGATAAAAACTTCTTAATCAAAATATTTCGTTATTATATCTAATAAGTTTGCTGCATAAATACAATCAGAAGATTAATCAGAAGATCTTTAAATAGAGAGAAAGAAAAAAATGAAATAAAATAAATATTCAGATTATCAAATATTAATTATATCGACTGATGACACAATTGGCTGTATTTTCTTATATTAATACAATTATATTTTATGAAAATTGATCAAATTTCAATGATTCTTCTCTCTGCTGCTCCAATTCTTTTACAGCTCTTTCTAAAGCAAACAGATGTTCATCCTGCACACCAGGGGCTATCGTGCGCATCGCAGATGCCAATTTATAGAGATACTCTATATTAGATCCACTAATGCCACGTGAAACAATTATATGTCTCGCAATGATATCTATGTTCTCCATTCCAGCAAAATTTGGATTATCTTCTTCACCTATATAAATAGTGAGGTAGAATGGAGCTTCGTCCAATACAGTTGAAAGCGATGCTGTTGAAAAAGTCATCCTCGAGAGATCATTCAAAGACACGTTGGTATTTGAATCACTTTGGGTAGACTTGGAAAAATCACAGGGATAGAAGAGGACGGTTTTTTTTATGTAGCCACCTTTCTCTCGGAAATCCAAATGATTCACTACATTTTCTATATTTTCGGAAGATATCTTGTAAGCGATTCCCCATACTTGATCGTCGGGATTAGTAGAGGCAAGCAACGTCACCACACGTCCAGGCTGCAAAAAAAAATGAAGATATATAGTTGATGTGAGAAAAAGCAATTACATCTTGCCTACCCTATTGGGCACGCCTCTGTGATCAGTACTCTTTTGATAAAAACGCCTGATATATCCCTTGATGTAACCGATGAGCTTTTTCTCATATGGAAAATCTGCTTTCCATATCAAAGAACCATAACCAAATACCCACATGCTCGCTCGCTCGCTCGCTCAACGTCGGCCGAAAGATTTCTTTTTATCGTCGACAACAATGACAATCACGTCATGCAATGTAGACTTTGTCTAATCTCTTCGGTGACGAGCTCGTCTTTTAATGCCGTGACATAACTTGTAGACGACTCCACTCTAAAATTATGCTCCATGTTACATTCAACGCGTCTGTTACGCCCTGCAACATAACCTATTTATCTGTCTCGAGTACACGTGACAAGTGAATGAAGTGAGACCTGATTGCCACATCGCTAATTGGTCAATTTAATATAAAATTTTCTGATTGGTTGGTTTAGTGGAAAGGAGTGGAAAAACTCCAAGCACATTTGCTCGGAACTCCTCCCACACAGGCATGTGCACAAAAATGCAAAGTGTGCATATGAGGTGGATTAGCATGAACAATTGCGATAACGATTGTTAGCATCTCAATACATTTATAACAAAATAATGTAATTTATTATAGATGAAATGGCATCGTTATTGTTACGCACAGAGATCCTCGCTATTCGATGCGTAGGAAATATCATATTTATAGGTTAGTTAGTTACGAATTAGTTAATATAATTACAATAATCATATATTATATAATTTATGTAATATTAATTTAATGCAAATAATTTTTATAAGAATTTTAATATTACACGAATAATTTTTTCGCAATTAACAAAAACCTTGGTTAATAATAATTAATGCTTTGGATGCACAAGATAAATTTGATCAAGTTAATATAAATTTTTATTACTTTTTAATGCTTGTTTATTATCGCAGGTATGGGACCTACTCTCTATGTATTCAGGAATTGCAAATTTGAGTGCAAGTTGGATTGTCTGTATCCAAGTAATATACATGGTATTGTAATAGGAACGGATAAAATATTAGCTGTATTTGGTGCCAAGTCTATATGCATTTGCAAACTTGTTGAAATAGAGCACAACATAAGGTAATATAATTTTATATGCATGATACACCAAAGTCAAATATCAATATAATATCTATAGATAAAAATAAGAAAAATTATCTATATGAGGTATAGATTCATGTTTATATAATTATAACTGTTTTTTTCTTATTTTTATTCAGAGCATATTAGAATAATTTGATTTAAAACTTGAAATATTTTGATGTAATAATTTTTTTTGTTCTATTTGTATATGTAGAATAAGAAAACAAAGTACTAATCAATTCAATGATTGGATAATTGCTGCAAAGTGGATATCATTTAAGAAAGAAATACGATTGGCAGTTCTATTTGCTCATAATTATATATCTATATATAATATATTTAATAAAACTTGTCAAATTATACGCTGTGAAGAAACATGCATTCTGTATCCTTTCATGATTTTTGTTAATTAATTTTTTACAGAGATAATTGATATAAAAAATGAACAATTTTCTTAATTAATATCTAGCTATGGCGGTTCTATATCAGGAATTTCTCAAGAGAATTTAGTTATTTTCAGTGGAACTGTATTTCAAGAAATTTTAATATGGAAAGTAGACAACAGATGTAATGACACTAATAAAAGAATGCCAGTTTTGCATCGTTTAATAGGACACAAGGTTTGGTAATTATATTGAATTTAAAAGGATAACTATTTTTGAATAAAAATCTCATCTTGTAAATTTATTCTAGGGTGTTATATTCTCTGTTATTTGTGATCCATCTTTGCGATTTATTTGTTCTACATCTGATGATAGAAGTGTCAGATTCTGGAAAGTAACAGAAGATGAAAATTCCAAAAGCAACAATATAAACTGGCAGACAGTAAAAATAGTACCAATAAAAGCAATGTTTATGCACACAGCAAGAGTGTGGAAAGCTTTAATTAGAAATGACATTGTTTTAACAATAGGAGAAGTAAGATTTCAATTATACCAGTAGGTGAAAATTACAATTTATTTTTATGTATATTTTAAAAAATTTTCTATTTTAGGATTCACTTATATGTACATGGTCACTCTCAGGTAATTTACTTAATAAAACTCATTATAAAGCTCCTATATGGAGTATTGACATATCTGAAGACAATATAGTATATGTGGGTGGAGGAGATGGATCTGTGCATATGCAACCTTTTGAACATTATAAAAGCCTAGAAACAATTTTTCTATCTGGTGGCAATGATACATGTAATTTTCCTAAATATGTCTCCTATTTGTATGATGATACAATTTTAGTCTTTACTGAATTGGGAACGCTTTTACATTACAACAAAGAAATGATGCTTAAAAACACTATATACTTAACAAAAGAACACTATTATATCGTGCAAGTTTCTCCAAATCGCAATTTTGTTGCTCTTGCATCTAGAGACGGATATGCAATAGTATACGAAGGTAAGAATGTTTATTAATGCAAATCTTAACATAAAAATAAATTTTTATTACAAATATATTATCTTTTTTATTTTCAAGTTTTTAATTATTAAAATTACATAATAGATAATGTATTTTTAGAGTACCTTGGGACTTTACGACAGTTTACGGAGAAAAACAAAATAATGGATTCACAAATCTTATCTTTGCAATGGTTAAACAATTCTGATTTGATAGCTTGTGGAACAAATGGTCTTTTGAAATTATTGAGTGGTGTGTAATCATTTATGCAACTATATCATAAATAATGTATTTTAGAACATGTATAACATTATGATTTTATATAGGTAATCTTACAGTGCATGCAGAATGCATATTGCCGCTCAGTAGAGAACGTTGGTTGACTGCAGCTATAATCTATAAAGATGTTAATCCTCCTGTGAATTACGGGATATCATATAATTTGTTAATATGTGGGGATAGAGCTGGAAATATTTATGTATATGATCTGAAATATATATATTTTGACACAGTTATTAACATAGATATTAGTAGAAAACCTATTCAAACACTTAATAAGATTCATGGTAAAATAGGAGTTCAATCATTTTGTATATTTGGAGAAAACTTGATAACATCTGGACGTGATGGAATGTTGAGATTTTATCAAATACATTTAATAAAGGACTCTTTTATATATACAAAGCCCTTGGTAATGCTGCATAAAAAAAAAATGCCAATGGACTGGATTAGTGGCATGTTAAAAGTGAATACAAAAAAAATAGGAGGGATGGAAAAAAATGAGATTTTTTTTGTATTTGGTTTTAAACAGGTATAAATAGAAAATTTTATACATATAAATATATATGCACATAGTAATAGAAAATCTTGTGTAATAATATATTATATCTCTTACAATAACGTTTTCAGGTGGAATTTATAATATATAACTTGTTGAATGAAAACGTAATCGTCAGAATTCCTTGCGGTGGCGGTCATAGATCGTGGGACTGTGTAATATCGCACACAAAAGCCAGTTTTGTTTATATTAAAAATAAACAGGTCCATGTACGTGATATGAATTCTTCTCTTTTTCTTTCACATCCTATTTTACAGGTAAGTGATTTTAATCTATTATTAAAAAAAAAAAATTGTACAAATCTTTTTATATTTGTTGTTTTTTATAGAATGGATTTCACATAAAAGAGACTTGTTGCTTACGATACATTTCAATTAAACAATCAGATCATTATCGAGAAAATATTTTTATATCCGGTAGTGAAGACTGCACTCTTCGTATCAGTAGTATTTTTGAATACGATTTTCAATGGAACGTTTTCAAAAATTTAGGAACTTTTAATGGCCATCTTTCGGGTATTAGATGCTTAAGTGTTGTTGAATTAAACATGTTACATGAATCCGAGTTTCAATACCTAGTCTTTTCTGGTGGAGGAAGAGCACAATTGAAGATTTGGAAGCTAAACTTCAACTTCCAAAGTATTAACCCAAAAAATCCACATTCAATAAAAAAATTAAATATGTCATGTTTCGATATGAATTCTCATATGCTCTATAAACAAAATCAGTATTGTAAAAAACCATGGCAGGAAACTAAGCAATCCTGTATCGAAGAACCAGAAACACGTTATATGGATATTTATGCCTATTACCCTAAATTAAATTATGTATTAATCTTTGTAGCTTGTGCAGACGGATATTTAAGGTAATTTAATTATTTATTTCATCAAGAATGATATATCATTTTATGAAAGTTATAAAATAATTCCTTTTTTTTCCATTGCAGACTATTTGTATATGATATTATAACTAACAATACATATTTGAAAGTATCTACTAAATACATAGATCGTTGCATTTTGAAGATACACATATTATTATTCAAACCCAAAGTAATTGTATTAACAATGAGTACAGACGGAAAATTACGTTTTTTCGATTTTACCGACATGGTCTCGAAAATACACGAGGATGCAAATTCTGGGAACCAGAATATTTTGAATTTCGACAATATTCCTTTTGCAGAATTTAGCTTGCATCAGTCAGGAATTAATTGTTTTGATTTAAAGGATATGAATGAAAATGAATATCTTTTAGTTACCGGTGGCGATGACAATCTTCTCAATGTCATCTATTTTCAAATTTATCTATCAGAAAATAAACTATCAGCTGAAATATTATCCAAATGGAATACAGCATCCGCACATTCCACACAAATCGTTGGTAAGTTAGGGCACATATGACATCTTTTAAACTATAGTTATATGTATTACATGTTCCACACATGCCTTAAGAAATTTATAAAAATGTATAATACCAACAGGTGTGAAATTGAAAAGCAATATAATATGTAGCGTGGGAATAGATCAGCAAGTTATTACCTATAATTATTCATGTTCCAATGGAGTCGTACATGTAGATATCTTAAATCAAGTATTTACATCTGTTACGGATGTGCAAGGCATGGAATTATATGGTTATCCCAAGTAAGTTTAAAGATGTATTAGATGTTATAATTGTCTTCTTTATTTCATTTATTCTTATAAATATTAATTTTAACAGCCACGATAAAAGTTGGAACGATTTTATTTGTATATATGGACGAGGATTTGAAATAATGTCCATTTAAAATTTCACACAAAGCATTATTTGTGTAAAAAATATTTTCTACCGAAGAATCTTATATATATGATATTTTATATATATATTATATATATGTGTGTGTGTGTGTGTGTGTGTGTGTGTGTGTATGTGTATGTGTGTATTTATTTATCTATAATATTTGTAATACTCAATTATGTAAATATAAATTAAATCATTACACATTTAAATATGTTCAAGAATAATTAATTATTTCCCATCTTTTTCATCTAATTAGAGAAAATATTTTTGCTATTTTAAATACAAATTAAATTGTGCAAAGTTTAAATAAAACATGGGACATGTGAAATAATGAACTTCAATTGTATAAATATATAATATAGAAATTTTGCATTTTTTTGAAAATAAATAAAAAAATTATTTACTTTTGTTTAAGATATTTGAAATTTTTAAATTTTATAATATGAGAAAAATTAGGGGCTCCGCACAATAAAAGGAACAGAGAATAAAAATTTCAACCTATCAAAAATCATGTATTGTGGAATACTCATTTTCTGATAGATTGAAAGGTTCTTATTCTCTGTTCTTTGTTTCCTATTCCTTTTATTATGCGGAGCCTCTTATAGTTTCGAATATATTGAATTATCTGAAAAGTTCATGCCGATTTTGAAGAAAATTGAAACGCAGAAGATTTAAATTTTAGTATACATTTATTAAATTATATAGGTGCCATTCTGTTCTATCTTTCTCCATCTTTCAGGCAATTTGAAAATTCCATCCTTCCAGAATCTCTCAAGTTTTTCAGTGAAAAACTTTTCTAAATGATTTTTTACCTCGACCAAAGAGTTGAAGTTTTTTCCATTAAGGGAATTTTGTAATGATCGAAATAGGTGGAAATCAGAGGACGCGAGATCTGGTGAATATAGATGGGATAGAACATCCCAACTGAGCTCCAACAACTTTTGTCGAGTTATCAAAGGTACATGAGACTGCGCATTGTGCTGATGAAACATGACGCCCTTCGGATTCGCTATTTCTGAACGTTTTTGTTCAATTGCTGTCTTCAATTTGTTTAATTGGGAACAATACTTTTCTGAATTTATTGTCTCGTTGTTTGATAAAATTTCATAATACAGGATCCCTTTCCAATCTCACCAGACACAGAGCATGACCTTCTTTGGATGAAGACTGGCTTTTGGGGTGGCTAAAGGTGGTTCATTCCGCTTTCCCCAAGATCTTTTTCGCTCAACATTATTGTAAATGATCCATTTTTTATCTCCACTCACTTGCTTCAAAAATGGTGTCTCCTCATTGCGTTTATAGAGCGAGTCGCAAATGGAAATGCGATCCATCAGATTTTTCTCTGTTAGATCGTGAGGAACTTATACATCAAAACAGTTTATGTAGCCAAGCTTCACAAAATGCTCGTGGATGGTGGATTTTGACATATTCAACATTTCTGCTAATTTACGTGTCGTATAGTGTGGGTTATTCTCGATCAGTGTTTTAATCTGATCTTCATCTGTCGTGGAAGGCCTACCCGGGCATTCTTGATCTTCAAGATTGAAATCCAGCTTTAAACTTAGCGCATCACTTCTGCACAGTTCTTTCAGATACAGCACCTTCGCCATAAACAGCGCATATCTTGTTTGCCGCTTGTGTGGCATTTTTGCCTTTCCGATAAAAGAAAAGGCCTAAAATGCACTTTGTTTTCTTCCATATTCAAAGGCGTATAAAACTGAGAGAAATTAACGTATCACAACCAAATTTTTTTACAAGTATGCCTGAAGTACTGTCTACGATATGTACGCATGACATTTGTTTTCAATCATTCTGATATATTCAGACCTGTCCTTACGCCACCTACCAAAAAATCAGCACGAACTTTCCGGACAACCCAATATTTAAAACAATTTGAACAGACTTTTTCTTTTTGAATTTGCTCGTCACTAGTCGTCACTGCCGTCAGATGTCAGTTTAATTGTAAAAACATGGCAGTACAATGTGTGGTATTTTGACAATATTGCGCAACGTTTCTTGATGAATAATTCATAATATTTATAAAAATTGCATGACATATTTAATTATATAAAGATGTCAAGTATTACGATATCAGCCATAAGACCGCGGACCAGTATCCTTGATAAATCCTTGAGTAAAGGTAAAGGAGAGGTTAGCTTGAGTTGTTTTGCCCTTTTATTTTCCGAATTAGTGCAATATTGTCAAAACAGAGTCTATACCGTTCCAGAGCTGCAGAATAAGTAAGTAGATCAAATTATTCTTTATCATTCATTATCTCGCATTCACTTATAGGTGTATTATCTTATGTTGTGACTAGATTGGCAGAGATTGGAGCAGAAGTTGGACACAGGATAACAGATCTACTTGTAGTACGAGAAAAGGGTGGCAAACGTGAGATAAAGCTACTTAATGTACTGCTATTTATCAAAAGTACAGTGTGGAAGTCCTTGTTTGGTCGAGAGGCCGATAAATTAGAACATGCAAATGATGACGAACGTACTTATTATATCATTGAAAAGGAATCCTTGGTAAACAAATTTGTGTCAGTACCCAAAGATAAAGGAAGCTTGAACTGTGCATCCTTCGTCGCTGGTATCGTGGAGGCTGTACTTTGCGATTGTGGCTTTGTAAGCAGCTTCAGTTATTTATTCTTTTTGAGATAATCTATCAAACAACTTTTAAGCTTGCACATTTATATTTTCATGAGACAAAATTTATAAATGTTTTAAATATTATTGCAGCCGGCTAAGGTAACAGCACACTGGCATAAAGGAACTACATATATGGTTAAATTTGATGACGCTGTTGTTGCGCGTGACAAGCAATTGGAAGATCGGTAATAGAAAGGAAATAAACACATACGTTACATTACTCTTTCTATAACGATAAAATATATAATACCTATATACAAATTTACCAATTGTTGTGATAAATCTATAATCTTTAATTATTATGTTAAATTCATATTTTATGTGTGTACCTTTTATATTTGAGACTGGTATCACTCTTCATCGAATGTTCATTTCATAATTATATGTTTATAAAATCTTTAATGTTTTTCATATTCTATTGACATACATTGCATTTAACATAAATATATATATATATATATACATATATATGTATATATTTCTTATAAGTTTATTTTATATCATCTAAGTTAAATACATCAACTGCACGTACTTTATTAAAATAATCATCTAACAGAATCTATGTGATCTGCTTGCATAATCAATTTGTCCAGTACGATATAAGTGCTCTTTTTTATCCTATGAAAAAAAATAATGCATATTACATATTAATATTTTGATTCTTGAATTTTATATTTTTTAAACACATTTGGCTTACCTTACCTTTCTATTTTTTAATGTCACTGCAGTTGCGATAATAAGAGATGCAATCATTCCAACTCGCGACATATATCGTATCAATGTAGGTACAAAGTGTTGCTCTATCGTTGTCTTCGAGGCAGCATATTTATATATTCCTGTATCAAACTGTATTCATAGAATGAGTAATCATGTGATAATTTATTAAAATTAATTTATATAGACAGAATTATAAAATTAATTTACATAGACATAATTATACTCTAAAATCAATTATTTATTATTTCAAAATTAACAAAGTACTAAATACGAAGATACAACAGATAGTTTCCACTATTGTCATGTTTCATTAATTTGTTACATAATTTCTGTAGATAATTTTAAATATAAAGTGTATACAATTAAAGCAACAGTTATATACATACATATATAAATATTTATGTATTTATGATCCTATTCGATTTTTTAACGTTATACTTTTTATAATAAAGTACTTCATATTCTTTAAAAATATTGAGCATACTTGAATCCGAGAAATACAAAGATCGGAATAATAAATTATAAATGTGACTGAACAAAATACCGTCGTACAATAAATGATAACAATGAATGCAATGAATTCAATCAGTATATAAATCAAACATAAATAGGCGTAAATATTGTCTATGGGACAAAGTATCGCTAATATTTGTGAACTTATAGGTTAAGTTAAATGTGTATGTACGTACGAGAAGACTTTTAGTTGGGTGTCCTGAATCTTTTAGATACAGTTCGCGTAACTGCTTCCGTTTCGCATCTCTCCATAACGCGATTTCGCGTTGCTCCGGTGAGCAATCGTATATCTTTTTCGACGACATAACTCTGAATTTTGTAACCTTATTTCTGTCTCTTCACCCTTCACTGCGTTTCTCTACTTTATCTCGCGAGCAGATACGTAACTTTTACCGATCGTAATATAGTAATCGCAAACTGACATTGTGAAATAGACACTTTGAAGTGTCCTATAATAGTTCCTAAAATCCGATGTCCACGATGAAAGAAATTGGTCTGAGATCTCAGACAGAGAAAAAATTAACAAATCAATGAACAATGAACATTCATCATTTGAATAAATCACGTAATTAAATTGATTAATTCTTTCTGCATCCGAGGTCTTAGATTTTGAGTATCAATCATGAAACTTTTTTCCTAGGATGAAAAATGAAAAATGAAAAATTTCTTTATTAACTTCAATAATTAAAAATTTCACTTTTCATTTTTCATCCTAGAGATAAAGTTTGATTGATACCAGGATCAAATAGTAATTAATTAAAACGTTAAAAATTTAAAAAAAAGTTAAAAAGTTAATAACTTTTAATTTAACTTAGTTAATTTTAAATATATTAAATTTTACATTACGTACATTCGTAATCTGTCCATATTTTAAGACCATCTTAAGTATTGTAATTTCTTAAGATATATAGAGCTCTCTGATTGGTTTATGCGATTATACCTTATGTCATAAACCTTAATCCTAAGGATCTACAATAGATGTTTTAAGCCTTAAGTCGTAAGAAATTGACCAATTACATTCAAATATTCTTCTCTCATTCGATTGTAATGTGGTCAATTTCTTGATTAAGTATTAAAAAGTAAGACTTATTAAAAAGTAATCACTGATCTTGTATCTTCTCTATGCTGGCTGTTTTTTTAAAGTTATATAATTTATATAATTATATCGTTATGTGTTATATCACATATGAATAAAAAAATTAAAAATTTAATTTACTTAATAATCTATATAATTATTTAATCTCATTTTAAGAAAAATTAGGATATTATGATCTAAAAAATAATTTTTTTCAAAATTAATTTTTTTTTAACTTAAGTTAATTCAATATTGACTTAACTTACGTTAAGCTAATTTTTTATTCCTTCAACTTTTAACTTAATTTTATTACTTAATTTTGTAAAGCCATTAACTTTAACTTTATTCAGTTAAAAAAAACATTAACTTATCCAACTCTGATTGATACCCTAATTTCTAGCATCGTGGATACAAAGCTTAACGTTAATAAAAATGGTGAAATCACCTTGTTATTTATAAAAGAATATAACAAATCGATAATAAATCTGTGAAAATTATTAAAACGACTTAATAAAATCTTGTATTCGTAATCACGATGCTAGAAATCAATCCGAGACTTCGGATGAAGAAAGAATTGATCAATCGCAATGATCATGTGATCAAATTGTTCAAGTGTGATTTGTTAATTTTTTCTTTGTCTGAGATCTCAGACCAATTTCTAACATCATGGATATCAAGTTTAATACAGAAAAATGATGGCTGCGGTCGATTTGAACTCTTTCAGCGCTTTTCAGTACTTCTATTCTTATTTTACGTCTAATGAATAATAAAAATAAAAAATGTTTACAAGCGCTTAAGCCTGCTCTACAATATGTTTTTTGTTTCCTGTTTTTGTTTCTTGCCTTTCATTATTTTTTACATCTTACTTTTTTACGATCTTTTTTACATCTTTTACTTTTTATCCGGTTTTTTGTTTTGTATCATCTGAGATAAAAGATAACGAATTTTGAAAAAAAAAAACAAGAAATACGGAACAAAAAATACAATTTGTTGATAAAACGATTGTAAAGAAGAAAAAAGCAAAAGGTAAAAAACAAGAAACAGTAAATAAAGAGCACATTATAGAATAGGCTTTAAAGTGCGTGAATCCAAATCGACTGCAGCCGATAACTTATCACCAATGATTTAGATATGATATACGTCAGTAGTTTTGTTCCTTAAGTTCATTGGCGCTGGTATCTAATTTTCAATATGGCGACGCCCATGCAATGAATGTAGGTTAGAATTGATCAGAATGATCTTATTTTTGTCTCAATAGTTGCGTTCAATAGAGAAAGTAGCTTTGTTGTGACAACTGTTGTGAAATTTTTCAATACGATTGGTTTATACATTTAGATCCATAAGGAACTAAAAAAAACCAGAATCAACCATGTTGAAGAATTTTGCAAAGCTGCTTGTTCCGCTAAGCGCAGCCACAATGATATGTAATTAAAATAGATTAATTATGTATAATTATTATTTCCTTTATACTTTCATCATTCAGATACACTTCTACCAATAATGGTAGAAAATTTATAGAATACACAATATGAATAACTAATTTCAACGGCTGCTTTTCTTTAAAAGGCAGTCGACACAACGAATGTTCTACATTATTCATTGAATGTCAAAAAGGATAAAACATTTGTCAACCACATTCCAAAAGAAAAACAGCTTACATCGGATTATCAGAACACGTCATTTTCCAAAAATGTCCAATATAAATGATGATAGCATGCATGGTCGGTTGCATCATTCGGTTTATCGCTGAAAAGAAACGAAACATGGTATAGACCTCGTGACAAGCTTAATCATGCGTGTTATCATTTCCGCTTTTTTGAAAAAGAGTCGTCGCAGCATCCTCTCAGGATGATTATAAATCTGGGTTACTCGATATCGTAGACACATGATTGACAAAACTCGCAATCATGACGTCACAATCATCTTATCTCACTCTGTGCAAGCTGTGCAAAACGATACGAAAGATCATCGCGCTGGAATTCAACGAACGAATTCGATAAACAACGAATGCGATGCATAGCTAATATACATACATATATTATGTATGTGCATACAAACATCGAAACGTCGCCAGACGACGCCAATGGACTCCATTGTCGTTTAATCACGTGGCCTATGGTGATGGAAAGTAATAACAGGGAGAGGGAGGAATACAAAAGAACGACGCTAGTCGGAAACGATTGTGATTGTCGCACATTGTCGTTACGTCCGTGGTAGACTCAACTAGCAGGGAATAAAGTTTTGCAAGGAATAAAGAGAGCTCGTAAGTGTAAATACGTGTAAGTATTAATTCGTTGCTCGATTAACCAAGATACGCAGTTCGTTTGCTTTCAGCAGCAGCCTTCCGTTTTTCATGTATTCGTTTTGTGTAAATTTTTTTTTTATCTAAATCATGTAAAATCAAACAGGTGCGGAAGAGTTCAATTTGCGTAACAGAAACGAATAGCTTCAGTTTTCTTTCCTTTTTTGCCATCTCATTATTTATATACAACGCGATAACGCGTTTAGATTTTCATAAAGATTGAATTGTGCGTATTTAACCTAAAGGACATACGTCATATTATATTATATTATATTAATATCAAAGCATTATTTAGGGTGTTTAGGCTAATCGAGAATGTTAAAATGTGAACATTTGTGTCACTTGTAAAATTTACTCTTTATATTTTTTTTAATTCTTTGAATAAATTAAAAAAAAGTAAAATTAAATTGAAATTAATCTACAGTGGTAGAAATGAACATAAAGGAAATCAATTCCAAGATGAATATTAATCTTGAAAGTGGAATTGTATATATAAAACAAACAATTCCATAAATTTAACGTAAATTAGGTGAGATCATTGTGTTCAATGTGTTTTCCTGACACTGTCTTTATGTATTAAGTAAAGTTGAAATATAGAGAATTCCAACTATAAATGATCAACATTTTCCTACATCTATATTGCTTACAAATTGTAAACAAACAAATGTGAAGTTAATGCAAAGATATCACAACTCCCTATCAGATAGCTATATTATATATTTATTCTTTTGTCTGTTTAATTGTTTTACAAAATAATTGAGAGTTTAATATTTTATCATTACATTTCACATACATGAGGCAAATACTTGGAACATAAAATTATATCGTGCTTTGAATATATCAAAAGTAATAATATATCAAATTGTGTGTTATAACATTTATGATTATATAGAAAAAAATCTATTGAATATTGTATATATTACTGTAATTTTTAAATATATATATATTTTGTAATTAAAATTATTAATTAAATCAAGCCGATTTAGACAACATCGATGATGGAGATATATAATTATAAACATGTATAAACTCTTTATACATGTATTTACCACGTGATTCAATAAATCTGTTTATCATGTCGAGTGGTAGCAAACGCATCTAGTGCGCAATTGAGAGATATCAAGAAAACTTTCGTTTTTTTTTATGTTTAAAGAAAGAATTCATAATCATGTATTTTGTCATTTCAAGGAAAGGAAGATAACACCGGATATACATATATTTGTGACGTCATCAATTTTATGCATAACTTTGTTTTTAGAGTACCTTTGGAGATTAGATTGATACTACCATAAACTACGAATATATGATAAATATCGAAATCTTTTTATCACATACTTTTGTCTAGACAAGGTGGACAAAAGGATATGATAAGAAATCAATAGATAAAGTTTGAAGGCTCAGTTTTAAAATTCATGATCAATTCTTAACCAAAGTTCAACTATTCCTTATCTCTTTTCGATTTTAGAATTAGAAAGAGATAAGAAAGTTGAATTGTGAAATGGGCCTTTAAATTTTAATCTATTGATTTCTTATTACATTCTTTTCAAGTCTTAGTAATAATTTGATACTCTTTTTTGCGTCTCGGCTAAAGCATCCAGAATACATCTGAAATTGATACGAAAGGAAAAATTTTGATAAAGAACTCTGACGATGAGACTTTTCAAATACAAGTGTGTATAAACATCTATGTGATTAATTCATAAACAACACGAGCCGCTATTATTGACGCGTTAACAAGGTCGAGATTTTGAGATCCGTTATTGTATTATTTTCACGTGATCGTACATCTCTCACGTGTTTCATTGAAACAGAATTATATTATCTATACTGGATCCAAGTTGGCACAGAGCAATTATCGCTGTGTCATCGCAGCAATTTTACCGCAGGTTTGTCGTGAGAAATGTGAGTCATTATTAAAATCACACTAGCATGAACGACACGATAATCAAACGAATGATTATTCCGGAGGATGCAACACACACGCATATCCAGAAGAGAAAAAAAATAAATTGTTATAAAACCACAAATGGCGTAGCAGAGATTTTCATTTGATTGACTTTGAGGCATTTTTTTGCACACAATTACATAATATACATATATATGAATACGCGTATTGCTTCTGATGAGTGCATGCAAGATGCGTCATTTTTTTCTAAGAATCAGAAAAACAAAATGATTCTTTTGAATATAGAAGTTCTTGATAATTGTGGTGCAAAAAATAGGACAAACGCATGTCAATGTCTTTTATGAAATTTTTGTGCAATTTTCGAAATTTTGATTATGTATATTTGCAGTGACAGGACAAAGCTTTCTTATGCTATTAATAACGTTGCTTTCTTTCTCTTACGTAAATTTTGAACTCTGCTCTTTCAAGCTAAAACTCACTGCTAGTTCATTAGGTTATATTTTTATTTGATATTGCACTATAAAATAATATTCATGAATTTTCACAATAAGATTGAATGAGCGATCGAGCAGAATAATTTTTTAATCTACAATATAAAATTAACTTTTTTATTTCATATATAAGAGTTATATCTATTCTATATTATATTATTGAAATAATCCTTTTTTGTAGGTGACTTAATTGAGGAATAAATATGAAGAGTGTGGTGGTTTTGTTGTTACTGGCAGTTTTTACCACGGGACAAGCTATTTCCTTCAACAAGATTTTAGATGTAGAATGGTTCAGTTTTATGGTATAAAAGTTGTATTTATAGTAGAGTTTAAAATTATTGCAGCTTGCATCATAAAGTTTACTCTGAAAGAGTTAAATAAGACGAAAATGTAGCCTTCCATATCCAGTTACTATTCTTTACAAGTAGTAACATGGATACTTTGTTCAGTTCTTTGTTTATCATAGATTTTTAATATTGTGGATCAGTTTCTTACGTAGAATATATTTCATAGCAAATAGGATATGATAAAATATTTGTTAAGAAAGTAAAAAAGTCAAGTATGCAAGAAATTGTCGAATCTAATTTATAAATAAAATTAAGGATTAAAATGATCAAAAAATTAAACTAAATATTGATTATAATGATTATTACTTTAAGACAAATCATAAAAAATTCTACAAATCTTCGATTGAAGAGGGATATAGAATGAAAATCTTCTTGGATAACAAGCGCAAAATTGTTGAACACAATCGCAAATATGAGCTGAATAAAGTTCCCTACAAATTGGGAATGAACAAATACTGTGATATGGTAAGTTTCTGAAAAGCAAATTATCTGTATCACAAAGCGAGCAATTTTTCGTGAAACGCTTATTTTTCTTACAGTTTCATCATGAATTTGTCAATACTTTGAATGGTTTCAATAGGTCAGTAAAGGCTCACAAGCAATTTATGGGAGCAACATTTATCTCGCCAGCTAATGTCGAATTACCAAAAGAAGTCGATTGGAGGAAACATGGTGCTGTTACAGAAGTTAAAGATCAAGGACATTGTGGCTCTTGCTGGGCATTCTCTACTGTAACCCTATTTTTTAAATATCTTTAATAGATAGAATTGGATAGATAGAATTGGATTACTTATTGTCTTTTTTTCTTGCAGACTGGCTCTTTGGAAGGACAGCATTTCAGACAGACTGGCATTTTAGTATCACTTAGTGAGCAAAATTTGGTTGATTGTTCTGGCAACTATGGCAACCAAGGATGCAATGGTGGTTTGATGGATAATGCTTTTAAATACGTCAGAGATAACAAAGGCCTTGATACCGAAAAGAGTTATCCATATGAAGCAGAGAATGACAAGTGCAGGTTTGTATTAATTATTTTGCATGATTGGAAAACATACATAGAATTTAATGATTTATTAAACTCTTAAAATTGCAGATACAATCCGAGAAATAGCGGCGCTACTGATGTCGGTTTCGTAGATATTCCAAGAGGAAATGAGCAGAAATTAAAGGCTGCAGTCGCTACTATAGGTCCGGTCTCCGTTGCTATTGATGCCTCTCATGAATCTTTCCAGCTTTATAGTGAAGGTATGTAAATAAATAAATAAATATATATATATAATTAGTATAAGCTAATTTTTTTACAAATTTAATTGAGTTTATAACTTGTATATAAGACTTTTAATCTTATAAATCGGAAATTTAATTCATAATGAAACTAATTGTTGTGTAATAAAATCTGAACTTGTGTTCTCATTTTTTTTCTTTTTTACTTAAATTTTTTCACATTTTTTAGGAGTATATTTTGATCCTGAGTGCGATTCAGAAAATTTAGATCATGGTGTGTTGATCGTCGGCTATGGTACAGACTCAAAAACTGGCCATGATTATTGGCTGGTAAAAAATAGTTGGGGTGAAACATGGGGTGAAAAGGGTTACATCAAAATAGCCAGAAACAAGAACAATCATTGTGGTATAGCAAGCAGTGCCAGCTATCCTCTCGTTTAACTGCCGTTGATAATTAATTTTTTAGTTGTGATCTACTAATTCAGACATGACAGCTATGAGAGGCCTAATAAAGTTTTACGAATTTTAGAATAAATTTTTATATCATTTCTGATATATGATTTCTTTAAAATCATATTTGATAAAATTGACGTCTTTCTACAGACAGTTTTTCTGTTTTACCGCGCTATGATAGGAATCAGAAGACACGGTAGTATCTCCGTGCTAAGCGCAATGACACTAACGTGATTGTAATTACAAATTTTACAGTTTTTCCAACTTTCTTAGGTCTCTATACAAATTAGTTCTTTCGAATAAAGAGCAAAGAATAAAGACAAATTCGGAAAAATTACGAAAATTGCAAGCTTCGAAAATGGTGGTTCATTGTTCATCGTTTTAACATATCTATTACATTTAGTGACAATTATGGATATTATCTTAGGATGTATTTTATCTTAGGATATATTTTGTATTTTTTGTTCACACATTTAGAATGATACTATTGCCCGGGATATTTTCTTAATGTCTCAAAGAATATATTAATGATATATATTTCATGTAAATTTAACTTTTTACACTAAATCTACAAAACTAATAAATGATGGTCTAATTAAGTATTTTAGTAAATCATTACACGTATCTCGGGTAATAATCCAGAGTCAAGTTATTTGCTATGCAAATTGATCTCTATTTTTTAGAAAATAAAGGAAAATAAAAAATTTTTAATTATCATGCTATTCTTATTTATCTCGATCTTGTTAATAATAAGTTGGATATGCGATACTTCGACAGTGATGTATCATGCATTCCTAGTTGCAATATATTTTTCAAGCTTCATTTTGTTCCCGGAAATCGAACGATTAATCGTCAAGTTTTCTTCAACTGATTTGTACTCATTCTAAAATAATTATAGAAATTAAAATCATTCAATTTTGATTTCGTAATTGATGCAAAGTAAAACTTTTCATTGCGATTTTCAATATCAAATGTTGGGCGCTACTCATTTTTTTTATATTGCCGTTTTTTGTTTTCCATATCACGATCAGTTACTGCGGCTGTATGTCGTCTTTTAATCTTTAATTCTATAAGAATGAACTTGTATATATGTTTAAACTCCAAATAATTCAAGTATTCATTATACATGTCTTACGGTCAACGCTACAAATGCTTTCTTGATTGGTCACTTTGTTAAATTCTTTCTTCTGATTGATCAAGCAAATACTTCAAGGCATTAGCATATTGGGCGCGTTCAAATTAACAAAGCGGCTAGCGTGCTCGTCAAGTAAATAAATATAATTGGTTGTTTCTTATAGATTCAACCTCAATCTCACTGCTATTAGATGTTCCAAAATTTGCTGCCTGTACTGAAAATCTATAGTGCATGTGACATAAACTGTAGCATTTTCAGCGCTGGCAATAAATTTAGAACACAGCTGATAGCCATAGTTGATTAATTTACCATCATTTATCCATTGCTTAATTGTTAGAATTTAAGAGGATTTCTTTAATGCGACATGAATGTTGTGCTTGTAACTGGCGGTACTGGACTCGTTGGTAGAGCAATTCAAAATGTTATCGAGAATGACAAAAGAGAAAACGAAAAATGGATATTTATTGGATCCAAAGATGCAGATTTGGGGTAAGTGAGGTTAAGTGACTAAGATTAAATCAACCAAACGATTAATGCGATTGCAAAACGCTATGTATATGATATTTATTTTAACCAAATGACTTTTGCAGTGATAAAGAGAGCACACGGAAGTTATTCGAGCATCATAAACCGACACATGTCATTCACTTAGCTGCTATGGTTGGTGGTCTCTTCCACAATATGTCACATAATTTAGACTTTCTGGTAAATATTACGAAGAATATATCTTTCATTTGTGTATCAATTTATTATATTGTAGCTTTAATCGTGATTTCAATACCTTTTATTGCAGCGGAACAATATATATATGAATGATAATGTTCTGCACACTGCTCACGAGAACAATGTCGTGAAGGTTGTCTCATGCCTTTCCACCTGTATATTTCCTGATAAAATATCTTATCCAATAGACGAAACTATGGTAACATACATTAGATAACATACTATAGTAACATACATTAGATGACTATAATTAATGTGTATGTAGGGCAGTACATGTACCATACAAATTAATTATGTATTACAGGTTCACAATGGACCACCACATTCCTCGAATTATGGTTATAGTCATGCCAAGCGACTCATAGATATTGCTAACAGAGGTTACTATGATCAGCATGGCAGGCTATATACCAGTGTGATTCCTTGCAACGTATTCGGTCCGCACGACAATTTTCATCCTAATGATAGTCATGTAATACCTGGTTTAATGCGAAGACTTTATGACTTGTGCAAAGATGGTATGGAAAAAGCATCAATATTTTGATTATGAAAATAAGTTTTATGTATAAACATCATTTGAATTTCTTATCAAATTAGTATTTTAATTAGGAAATACAGAAGATAAAGTGTTCACTGTATTGGGCTCTGGTAAACCTTTAAGGCAATTCATCTACAGCATAGACTTAGCAAAATTAATAATTTGGGTGTTGCGGGAATATGAGTCTGTAGAACCAATTATACTATCAGGTAATTATTCATTTAGATATAGTATTATACTATCAGGTAATTATTCATTTAGATATAGTATTATTTCCCTAATTTTTTTTAACTTTTTAGAAAACATTATTTATCAATAATTTTATAGCTGCTACTATTTTTACTATACTGTCGGCAACATAGAATCTTTAAAATCATCACTAACTAATATTTTAACTATTAGGTGAATGTCACTAGTGGATAAATTTAAATCTGTAAAGAATAAGTAAAATTTAATTTTTATTTTCTAATGATTAAACCTTAAAAACTTAGTGTATAAGAATACTAGAATTTTTTCAGATTTATATAACCTGCAGTTAAAAGAATTTCCTCTATTTCTCGAAGGCTTCTGTGAAAGAAATAATGTTCCATGTTGTCGACAGAAGATTAAACAATACTATAATATTGCAATTATCAGTGTTGTATAACTTTATCATGGAAATTGTGAAAGAAAAATGATAATTTTTAGTGGATGAAGCACAAGAAAAATCGATAGCACAAGTGGCAGAGACTCTGGCGCAAACTTTCAACTTTAAGGGAAAGGTGATGTATGATACATCGGCAGCGGATGGACAATTCAAAAAAACAGCAAGCAATGCAAAATTACGAAAGTACTTGCCTGACTTTCAATTTACACCTTTTGAACAAGCGATTAAAGAGACTGTTGATTGGTATATAAAAAACTATGATCAAGCGAGGAATTAAAACCGAGGTTGCAAATTGTTATTATAATCTTGCGATAATTTATATTTTAACATATGAAGTATAATTCACTAGAATTCAGATATATCAATGCTAAATAATGTAAGTTGTTATTAAGAATGAATGATGAAAAATGAATGATGAAAAATGTACTGAAGATTGAGTAGTATATATATATTAATTATATAATTTTATTATAAATTATTATTGTAAAAAGTTATTTTTGAAGTAAATTATCTTTATAAAACATAGCATTTATTACTCAGGAAGAACGAGTTCAAAGCTTTTTGTCCACCTTTATAGTTCGAGCTCAATCAAGGTCCCTAAAATCCACAGTAATTTCGGTATTTTCAAACTGTTAAATAAACATTAGAGGATACGTGAATATTTTTATTGATCTGGAAAGTTACCTACCAATGCGCATACTAAACATAGATTCAGACGAACATCTGCGGCAGTGCATTTATTTTCGCTTGTTCGTAGCACTCCTAAAGTATATTTTAGGTCAGCTTGCGCATAAATTTGATTGTTAGATCGCTTTATGATGCGATTTATTGACTGCCACAATGTGAAATGCAAACGAATTTTCAATTTTTGTAAATTATTATATGTAAGCAGAAAATT